TTGTTGTTTGGCGGGTCTGGGCTGGATTCGAACCTGCCACCTTAGGTGTACATGGCTGGCGCCTTAGTCGGTTGAGCTATAGGCGCTGAGCTGGTGTTGAACTTCTATGCTCAAGTGATCCTCCCACCTTGGCTTTGCAGAGTGCTAGGATTACAGGCACGAGCCACATGCTTAGCCAGGAGAAGTGAATTTCAATAGCATGTTCTATTTTAACCCAACATTTCAAAAAAGTAGGATCTTCTGGGCGCAGTGGCTCATGCCTGTAATCCTAGTACTCTGGGAGGCCGGGTGGGTGGACTTCCCTGAGCTCACAGGTTTGAGACCAGCCTGAACAAGAATGAGACTCTGTGTCTATAAAAAATAGCTGGGCGTTCTGGCGGGCACCTATAGTCCTAGCTACTCAGGGGTCTGAGGCAAGAGAATCGCTTGAATGTAAGAGTTGGAGGTTGCTGTGAGCTATAACACCACGGCACTCTACCAAGGGTGACAAAGCGAGACTCTGTTTCAGAAAAAAAAAATTATTATCATTTTGGCTTAGCCCCCGTAGTTCAGTGGTCAGGATGCTGGCCACATGAACCCGGCTGATGGGTTCAAACCTGCCCAGGGTCAGCTAAATAATGACAACTGCAACAAAAAAATAGCCTGGTGTTGTGGCGGGTGCCTATAGTCACAGCTCTTTGGAAGGCTGAGGTAAGAGAATTGCTTAAGTCCAAGAGTTGCAGGTTGCTGTGAGCTGTGATGCCATGGCACTCTACCCAGGGTGACAGCTTGAGGCTCTGTCTCAAAAAAAAAAAAAAAATTATTATTTTAGCCTGCCATCAATATATAAATTATGAGTAAGTTTTTTGTGTTCTTTTTGGTACTGTTTTTAAATTCTAGTGTGTATTTTACATTTCCCACATCTCATCCTGGACTAGCTTCAAGAGCTCTATGGCCATGTGTGGCTGGTGGTGCTCATGCCGGTCATGGTGATTCTAGAACTGCACTCAAGTGTGGTCCTCACAGCAGCAGCATCACTCAGGGCTTATTAGAGATGCAGGATCTTGGGCCTCACTCCAGACCTGGCAATCCAGAATCTGCATTTTATCACAATCTCCTGGAGTACGACCCTGAACACACACTGAGGTATGAAAGACATTAGCTGACAGTGGCTGGATTATAAGACCCGGTGGCTTGATTGTGAGGATCTAACAGGCCACATGTAATTTTTTTTTTTTTCTGAGACAGAGTCTTACTGTATCACCTTTCGTAGAGTGCTGTGGTGTCACAGCTCACAGCAACTTCAAACTCTTGGGCTTAAACAATTCTCTTGACTCATCTTCCCAAGTATCTGGGACTATAGGCACTTGCCACAATGCCTGGCTATTTTTTTGTTGTTGTTTGTGGTTGTCATTGTTGTTTGACAGGCCCAGGCTGGGTTTAAACCTGCCAGCCCTGGTGTATGTGGCTGGTGCCCTAGCTGCTGAGCTATAGCGGCCGAGCCCACATGTAATTTTTAAATTTATATTATTTATTTATTTAATCTTGAGAAGGTAATATGGTTGCATGTTTTGACATTCAAAAAATAAAAAGGATTTTTTTAAAGACGGAGTCTCAAGCTGTGTCATGCTGGGTAGAGTGCCCTGGCATCATAGCTGATAGCAACCTTCAACTCCTAGGCTCAAGTGATCCTCTAGCCTCAGTTTTTCTATTTTTAGTAGAGATGGGATCTTGATTTTGCTCAGGCTGGTCTCGAACTCATGACCTCAAGCAGTCCACCCACCTCAGCCTCCTAGACTGCTAGGATTATAGGCGTGAGCCACTGTCCCCCCGGCCAGCATGTATAATATAACAAAAAAGAAAATCCAGTTTCTCGAAAGGTAATTGCTGGTATCAGTGTTTTGAGATATTGTCAAAAGATGCGCTTGCACCAGAAGTTATATCTGTCTGATCTCCCCTTTCTTTTACATAGCACAACCACCTTGGGTTTTGCCCTTTCGCTTAAAAATGTGCCTTAGATATTGGCCATGAAGAATTTCCTCATTTCTTTCTTATAATTACATAATATTCCATTGTATGAATGTTTAACAGACTGTTCCCAATTTTGGTTTCTAATTTTGGCATTTTAACCAGTGATGCAATTAGTATTTTGCTTTTTTTTTTTGAGATAGTCTCACTATGTCGACAGCCCTTGGTAGAGTGCTATGATGTCACAGCTCACAGCAACCTTAAACTCTTGGAGCTTAAGTGATTCTCTTGCCTCAGCCTCCTAAGTAGCTGGGACTATAGTGACTGCCACAATGCCCAGCTATTTTTTTTTAATTGTTGTTGTTGCGGTTGTCGTTGTTTAGCAGGCCTGGACCAGGTTTGAACCTGCCATCCCCAGTGAATGTGGCTGGCACCCTAACTGGGGAGCTATGGGTGCTGAGCCTAGTATTTTGCTTTTATATGAGGATGTCTCATGTGTAATTTGTTAATTAATTTTTTATAAATACTGGACTAATTTTAAATTATTAGTTTTAACATTTACATAAAAAGTCATTATTAAGGACACTTTATATCAGACTAATTGGATCTTCTTTCATAGAATCAAAGATGTTTAGCATGGTAAAATGCCTTAGATATCATTAGCTTTAATTCTTTATTTTATTGAAGTCCAGACAGGTTAAGAAACTTGCTCAAAGTTACACAGCAGAGACTCCAGGTTGCTGGATTTCCTGGTTAATGCTTTTTCTGCTTCCTCATGCTACTGATAGGTATACTACCTTAAAGAAACTTTAACAAGGCCCTTCTCTTAAAAATTTTATATTTCATGGGTGGCGCCTGTGGCTCAAAGGGGTGGGACACCGGCCCCATATGCGGGAGGTGGCAGACTCAGCCAAAAACTGCAAAAAAAAAAAATTTTATATTTCATGATTATAAAACTAATATATAAATATTAATTATTAAAATGCCTAAAGAGATAGTTGGAATTTGTT